AGAAACGGCCTTCCTCACCTCTCACCCGAATTGTTCTTTTATGTCCAAAGCGTGTTCAGCTGTTAGGGACAATCTAGTTTGACCTTATGGAATAAAAGCTGCTGGTTTTGCCTCGGGCTGACAATATAAAACGGTGGGAGAGAATCCGAGGGGGAAGGAGAGTGCGAAACTTAAATGCTGCTAACGTTTTATTTGCAAAGCTCTCACGGGATGCTGGCTTTATCGTTTAATTTCAAACCAGTGGGCTAAGCGTGTTCAGCTGTTAGGGACAATCTAGTTTGACCTTATGGAATAAAAGCTGCTGGTTTTGCCTCGGGCTGACAATATAAAACGGTGGGAGAGAATCCGAGGGGGAAGGAGAGTGCGAAACTTAAATGCTGCTAACGTTTTATTTGCAAAGCTCTCACGGGATGCTGGCTTTATCGTTTAATTTCAAACCAGTGGGCTATGTTTCAGTGCTTTGCAGGAGATAGTATCAGGAAAATGTCACATTTCCAGATGTTACTGTTCATATATACAGCTATTTTTTTTCTTCTCTTTAAAGCTGTTTGGAATCAGCAGGCGTTTGTGAGCCATAAGTCACATCAGGAAGGGAGAAAGTAAACAATGTGTCGGGTAGGGGCTTCTGAGGGGGTAAAGAATCCTTTTTGATGCTGTGAGGCAGCGCCACATGTCCCTGCAAAGCTAGCTCTGCCATGAGTAAGCTGCTAAGTATCATTGAAGATGGGGAAAACAGTAGCAAAGGCGTTCCCAAGAAATGCTCTTCTGGGGGAGTAAGGAGACTGTGCAGGACAGATGTCTGTTGCTCTTCCATGATAATAATTTTATTAGCTAAATCTGGGCTTCCCCACAATTTTGGGAAAGACAAGGGGGATGAGATAAGCCACCAGAGAGCCCCAACACATCCTGCAAAAGTAGAACTTGAAAAACGCCCGTCTGCCACAGAGCATATCGAAGGAAGGTTTTAAGAGAAGAGCCAGGAACTTGAGGACCTGAAGCTCCAATATGGTAAAATGACTTTCTGTTGGGCTGTTGGTGTAATGTTGCCCTGACGCCATATTAATCAGCCCAAGGAGAGTAGCTCCTCTTTATCACAACCAAGCATTGTTGGGCCTCTTTCTGCTTCCCACTCAGCTCTTGTACGATAGTTGGGATACCCCTGCGCTAAGTTGATCTTCAGGTCCTTTTCGCTGTTTACCACCTGCTATAAATTACTACTCTTTAATGTTTTCTTTTAATGAAACAAGTAATTCCATATCTTACATTTGCAGCCACTTAGGAAAAGTACCCATTTGCCAGCCAGACAAGTTAGCCCCAAATGATATTTCCGTGGCTCATGGTTTGCTAAATACACCTTTCTCTTTCAGATCTTTTATGACCTGGTCAGACAGATAAATAGAAAAACACCAGTGGAAAAGAAGAAGCCTAAAAAGAAGTCATGTCTGCTGCTTTAGACCCAGATCATGTAGCAGCTCTGAGCCAGGTAAGAGGCAAGGAACTGACTGCCTGAGACACAGAGCTCTCTCTTTGCCCTTTTACCTCCTACTGAAATCTTGTGGCCTTCCTGTGACTCATGGTCTTAGCTAAGGACAATCACAAATGTGGGAGGGGCAGGAGTTTCAATGGCAAAAAAATGAAAAGCTCC